CCAGGGTCCTGGGATCGAGCCCCGCATCGGGCTCCCTGCTCAGCAGGAAGCCTGCTTCTCCCTCTCCCACTCCCCCTGCTTGTGTTCCCTCTCACTGTGTCTCTCTCTGTCGAATAAATAAAATCTTTAAAAGAAAAAGGCAGACCAATTTAGTGGGAGGGGGTTTGTTTAGAATAGAAATTCTTAACCTTTACTACAGATTCCTTAGAGAATCACATCAAAAACTCTCCCCCAAATGCAAACATTCATACAAGCATAAAAAAGTTCCATACAGTTACAGAAGATTCCCAGAAATCTCAGTGGACACATCCAGTAAGCAGCTCAATATTGGGGCTACTCCTGTTACATGATGGTGGTAACGCAGTCTGCTCTAATTTTCACATATTAGAATTGTTTCTTGGGTTTTTCATACATTTGTATTTTGACTTTAATTGGGCAAAAATCTGATGTCAGTAAAATAACGATCTTACAGGAAAAAAATGAGTATGGTTTGTAGGGATGATTGCGGCTATGCTGTGACAGTGAATACAGGGTTGTTATCTTTAGTACTTAGAAGGTATTCTAAAGAGGTAAAACTTCCACATGTGATATACGGTAGAGGGTAGAACACACCAAGAAATTGTCCAGTTAAACAAGCTACCTCACTTATGTCAGTCCTCTTAAAACATTGCTACAAATAAAGCTATAAAAAGTTGCCTCAAATATCTGAATAAATTCATAAGATATGGTTTTAAAAATCAAGTTAAATAATTATTCTTTAAGGATTTCATGTAAAATATGCACTTTTATGTCTCTTGATTAAAGAAAGAATGGAACAGAATTAAAATTTCATTCATATACGCACTTGTTTGATAGAGTTAACTATATAGTTACAATTTGTTTACTTTTTAAAATTAGCTCAAGAAGATATTAAGAAAAAAATCAAAATTGCTCCAGAGCTAAAATGAGGACAACAAAATGCAGGAGCCTAAAATTGGAAACATATTCTTAAACAAACCATTTCCTTCCTTACTTTGCCACAAAGACCTGAACCAGACTTACGTTCTTACTGCCAAACTATAAACAGTACCTGACGCTAGACAAATGAGGTTTTAACAGCCATTGCAGGAGGCAGATCGAACTGAGAATATATACTGATAAGAGAAAGTTAGTCTTTTGAAAAAAAGCTACTCCTAAACTCAAAAATTTTTATGATTAACTCAAAAAGCTAAACTTACGGGATAGCAAGAATACCAAACAACTAAAAGTATATTCAAAAGATGTATTATTGGGGGGGGCGCCTGGATGGCTCACTCATTAAGCATCTGCCTTCGGCTCAGGTCATGATCCTGGGGTCCTGGGATCGAGCCCCACATTGGGCTCCCTGCTCGGCGGGGAGCCTGCTTCTCCCTCTCCCACTCCCCCTGCTTGTGTTCCCGCTCTTGCTGTCTCTCTGTCAAATAAATGAATAAAATCTTTTAAAAAAAAAAAGATGTATTATTGGGGAAGTAGCAGAATTTAAGATAATTTTTAAAAATATTTTGTTTTTTCCCCACTGATTTCTATATTTGTTAAATGTATAAGTCACCAGGCTGGCATACCATCTTGGCCATATGTGACTGAAGAACTGACACTCTGAACGAAGGACAAAACCACATACAGGGAGGGAGATACACATGGAGCTGCCTTCTGGGAAAACTCTGCCAAATGGGGACCAATTCCATCCCTCTGACTTTTTTTTTTTTTTTAAATTTTATTTATTTATTTGACACAGAGAGAGAGAGAGAGAGAGAGAGCATAAGCAGGGAGAGTGGGAGAGGGAGAAACAGGCTTCCCGCTGAGCAGGGAGCCGGATGCGGGGCTCGATCCCAGGATCCTGGGATCATGACCTGAGCTGAAGGCAGACACCCAACGGACTGAGCCACCCAGGCGCCCCATCCATCCCTCTGACTTTGACTAATGAGACCAACCAGGTCTTTTTTATTCAGCAGTTTAAACTCAAGACTTTTAGCCAGATTTAGTGGCTATTAATCAGAGTGAAGCAGGTGGTGGTAAGAGGCAGAAAATGAAACAGAAGAGGTAAGAGAGTCCCTATTATGGTGGGACATAGGGAAGGGAACTCTTGGTGATGAGGGGCTGATGGGGGTAAAGAGAGGACTACGTCACTAGGGCTGTGCAGGATTCTGGACAACCTTCCAAATTCCAGAATACATACAAATGTTTATGATATCCAATTCTACAGATAACCTATGTTCTTACAAAGCCTGGATACATGGCCAAGGTTGCTTAGTCATAATTACACTCCAGAGTACACCTAACCCTTAGGGGCAACTCACGTGAATCTTCATTCCTTTTAACTCAAAGGGCCTAATATTTATATTACAAAGATAATATATTTTAAGTGTAGGAAATATGGAAAATAGAGAAAAGCAGAGAGAATAAATTTTTAAAAATCAACTGTAAACCTAATACTCAAGAAATTAGCTATTATTAAAATCTGTGTATTTTCTTCTGGTTTCCTTCCCTGTGATTTTTTAAAAAAGTTATTAAATACTGTTCCTTAACATGATCTGAATGGCTACATAGTGTTGCAGAGGCTGAATGTATCATTATTTGGCCTTTGTACTGGTTGGCACCCAGGGGTTGTTTCCAAGCTTTTGCTATGACAGAGTACCTGTTCAAACATGAATTTATACACAATTTTTCCTGTATCTGATTATTTCCTTAGATTAAATGCCTAGATGCGGAATTGCAGGGCTAGGATATGAACTTCTTAAGAGTTTTGATGTATTATGTCAAAATACTCTCTAGAAAGCAGTTGTATCGAGAAGGTAAATTTTGTAGCACCTCTGCCAACATAATAAAAACATTTTAATCTTATTTAATTCAATTCTAGGCAATTAACTGATTATGGAAAAATCAATGTCTTGTAAAATTGGAAAATGGACTGCCCAAACAGAATGCATAAGATGGGTTATGAGGCCTACAAAATGAAATTTGAGGTATTTCTGCATCCTACTCACCTATATACTTCACTTCTACATCTGCCAGTGCCTGCAAACAGTTCTCATAAGTTACTTCCTCAACATCAAGCATTCCAATAGCATCGTACACCTGTTTGGTCTGCACGATGAGCTCCTCAGTTCTTGTTTTAATTTGCTCTGGTGAAAGATCCCATCTTAAAACATTTCTGCCAGCCACAGTATAGGAAGACATTGCCTGAAGAGGAGACATCACTTTTCTTCCTAAAGTCATTCTGAATAAAATCCTGGAACCACCAACTCTAAAAAGAATCAGAAAAAGAATAAAAATTAAGCACTTGTTGGTCCAAAGTCAATACACAAATGCGTATTATCTAATCAAATGAAAAAGAACTTTTTCATAAAATTGAGCAAATTTCTTTCAGGTGAACACATAAGCACAAAACTAAATGCCTTTGTATTTTTTTTCCTCCTTGAATGGCGATTTAATGGAATTAGTACTTACCAAACAATGAATTGGTTATGTAATTAAATCATGTTGAGAAATAAAGTTAGGTGTCAAAGACATAATATTGTCCTTTACAAATTAAACCAGTAATATTTCTTTTTTTTTTTTAAAGATTTTATTTATATATTTGAGAGAGAGAATGAGAAAGAGAGAGCAGGAGAGGGGGGAGGGTCAGAGGGAGAAGCAGACTCCCCACTGAGCAGGGAGCATGATGCGGAACTCGATCCCGGGACTCCAGGATCATGACCTGAGCCGAAGGCAGTCGCTTAACCAACTGAGCCACCCAGGCGTCCTAAACCAGTAATCTTTCTTACTTAAATGTTTTTCCTGTGCTGGGATGCCTGGTTGGCCAAGTTGGTAGAGCACGTGACTCTTGATCTTGGGGTTCTAAGTTCAAGCCCCATGTTGTGTGTAGAGATTACTTACAAAAATAAAATCTTTAAAAAATAAAAAT